AACACCTGCCCCATAGAGCCCTATGGGGTGACACCGGCCCCATTGATCCCTATGGGATAACCCCGGCGCCATTGAGCCCTATGGGGTAACCGCGGCCCCATTGATCCCTATGGGGTAACACCGGCCCCATAGAGCCCTATGGGGTGACACCGGCCCCATTGAGCCCTATGGGATAACCCCGGCCCCATTGATCCCTATGGGATAACCCTATGGGGTGCCCTGATCCCTATGGGATAACATATGACCCCGGCCCCATATATGGGATAACCCCGGCCCCATTGATCCCTATGGGATAACCCCGGCCCCATTGATCCCTATTGGATTACACAGGCCCCATTGAACCCTATGGGATAACACCGGCCCCATTGATCCATTGATCCCTATGGGATAACACCGGCCCCATTGATCCCTATGGGATAACACCGGCCCCATTGATCCCTATGGGATAACTCCGGCCCCATTGATCCCTATGGGATAACACCTGCCCCATTGATCCCTATGGGATAACCCCGGCCCCATTGATCCCTATGGGATAACACCGGCCCCATTGATCCCTATGGGATAACACCGGCCCCATTGATCCCTATGGGATAACACCGGCCCCATTGATCCCTATGGGATAACCCTGGCCCCATTGATCCCTATGGGATAACACCAGCCCCATTGATCCCTATGGGATAACCCCGGCTCCATTGATCCCTATGGGATAACACCGGCCCCATTGATCCCTATGGGATAACACCGGCCCCATTGATCCCTATGGGATAACCCCGGCCCCATTGATCCCTATGGGATAACACCGGCCCCATTGATCCCTATGCCCCCCCATTGATCCCTATGGGATAACACCTGCCCCATTGATCCCTATGGGATAACACCGGCACCGGCCCCATTGATCCCTATGGGATAACCCCGGCCCCATTGATCCCTATGGGATAACCCCGGCCCCATTGATCCCTATGGGATAACACCGGCCCCATTGATCCCTATGGGATAACACCGGCCCCATTGATCCCTATGGGATAACACTGGCCCCATTGATCCCTATGGGATAACACCGGCCCCATTGATCCCTATGGGATAACCCCGGCCCCATTGATCCCTATGGGATAACCCTATCCCTATGGGATAACCCGGCCCCATTGATCCCTATGGGATAACCCCTGGCCCCATTGATCCCTATGGGATAACACCGGCCCCATTGATCCCTATGGGATAACACCCTGCCCCATTGATCCCTATGGGATAACACCTGGCCCCATTGATCCCTATGGGATAACCCCATTGATCCCTATGGGATAACCCCCTCCCCCCTGATCCCTATGGATAACCCCCCGTATAGATCCCTATGGGATAACCCCTGCCCCATAGATCCCTTTGGAGCATCCTCCCTGCCCCATAGATCCCTATGGAGCATCATCCCCTGCCCCATAGATCCCTATGGAGCATCCCCCCCGCCCCATAACATCCCTATGGAGCATCCCCCCTGCCCCATAGATCCCTATGGAGCATCATCCCCTGCCCCATAGATCCCTATGGAGCATCCCCCCTGCCCCATAGATCCCTATGGAGCATCACCCCCTGCCCCATAGATCCCTATGGAGCATCCCCTGCCCCATAGATCCCTATGGAGCATCCCCCCTGCACCATAGATCCCTATGGAGCATCCTCCCTGCACCATAGATCCCTATGGAGCATCCCCCCTGCCCCATAGATCCCTATGGAGCATCCCCCCTGCCCCATAGATCCCTATGGAGCATCCCCCCTGCCCCATAGATCCCTATGGAGCATCATCCCCCTGCCCCATAGATCCCTATGGAGCATCCCCTCTGCCCCATAGATCCCTATGGAGCATCCCCCCTGCCCCATAGATCCCTATGGAGCAACCCCCCTGCCCCATTGATCTGTATGCAACATCCCCTGCCCCATAGATCCCTATGGAGCATCCCCCCTGCCCCATAGATCCCTATGGAGCATCCCCCCTGCCCCATAGATCCCTATGGAGCATCCCCCCTGCCCCATAGATCCCTATGGAGCATCCCCCCTGCCCCATAGATCCCTATGGAGCATCCCCCCTGCCCCATAGATCCCTATGGAGCATCCCCCCTGCCCCATAGATCCCTATGGAGCATCCCCTCTGCCCCATAGATCCCTATGGAGCATCCCCCCTGCCCCATAGATCCCTATGGAGCATCCCCTCTGCCCCATAGATCCCTATGGAGCATCCTCCCTGCCCCATAGATCCCTATAGATCACCCCCTCTGCCCCATAGATCCCTATGGAGCATCCTCCCCTGCCCCATCCCTGCCCCATAGATCCCTATGGAGCATCCCCCCAGCCCCATAGATCCCTATGGAGCATCCCCCCTGCCCCATAGATCCCTATAGCCCTGCCCCATAGATCCCCATATCCCCGCCCCATAGATCCCTATAGCCCTGCCCCATAGATCCCCATATCCCAGCCCCATAGATCCCCATATCCCTGCCCCATAGATCCCTATGGAGCATCCCCCCTGCCCCATAGATCCCTATGGAGCATCCCCTCTGCCCCATAGATCCCTATGGAGCATCCCCCCCTGCCCCATAGATCCCTATGGAGCATCATTCCCTGCCCCATAGATCCCTATGGAGCATCCCCCCTGCCCCATAGATCCCTATGGAGCATCCCTTCTGCCCCATAGATCCCTATGGAGCATCCCCCCTGCCCCATAGTTCCCTCTGGAGCATCCTCCCCTGTCCCATAGATCCCTATGGAGCATCCCCCCTGCCCCATAGATCCCTATGGAGCATCGCCTCTGCCCAATAGATCCCTATGGAGCATCCTCCCCTGCCCCATAGATCCCTATGGAGCATCCCCTCTGCCCCATAGATCCCCCTATGATCCCTATGAGCATCCCCCTGCCCCATAGATCCCTATGGATCCTCCCCTGCCCCATAGATCCCTATGGAGCATCCTCCCCTGCCCCATAGATCCCTATGGAGCATCCCCCCTGCCCCATAGATCCCTATGGAGCATCCCCCCTGCCCCATAGATCCCTATGGAGCATCCTCCCTGCCCCATAGATCCCTATGGAGCATCCCCCCTGCCCCATAGATCCCTATGGAGCATCCTCCCTGCCCCATAGATCCCTATGGAGCATCATCCCCTGCCCCATAGATCCCTATGGAGCATCGCCTCTGCCCCATAGATCCCTATGGAGCATCCCCCCTGCCCCATAGATCCCTATGGAGCATCCCCCCTGCCCCATAGATCCCTATGGAGCATCCCCCTGCCCCATAGATCCCTATGGAGCATCCCCCCTGCCCCATAGATCCCTATGGAGCATCCCCCTGCCCCATAGATCCCTATGGAGCATCATCCCCCCCCTGCCCCATAGATCCCTATGGAGCATCCCCCTGCCCCATAGATCCCTATGGAGCATCCCCCCTGCCCCATAGATCCCTATGGAGCATCCCCCCTGCCCCATAGATCCCTATGGAGCATCCTCCCTGCCCCATAGATCCCTATGGAGCATCATCCCCTGCCCCATAGATCCCTATGCATCATCCCCTGCCCCATAGATCCCTATGGAGCATCCTCCCTGCCCCATAGATCCCTATGGAGCATCCCCCCTGCCCCATAGATCCCTATGGAGCATCGCCTCTGCCCCATAGATCCCTATGGAGCATCCCCTCTGCCCCATAGATCCCTATGGAGCATCCCCTCTGCCCCATAGATCCCTATGGAGCATCCCCCCTGCCCCATAGATCCCTATGGAGCATCCCCCCTGCCCCATAGATCCCTATGCCCCATAGATCCCTATGGAGCATCCCCCATCCCCCCTGCCCCATGCCCCCCCTGCCCCATAGATCCCTATGGAGCATGGAGCATCCATCCCCTGCCCCTGCCCCATATAGATCCCTATGGAGCATCCCCTCCCCCATAGATGCCCCCCCTGCCCCATAGATCCCTATGGAGCATCCCCTCTGCCCCATAGATCCCTATGGAGCATCCCCCCTGCCCCATAGATCCCTATGGAGCATCCCCCCTGCCCCATAGATCCCTATGGAGCATCCCCCCTGCCCCATAGATCCCTATGGAGCATCCTCCCTGCCCCATAGATCCCTATAGCCCAGCCCCATAGATCCCTACATCCCTGCCCCATAGATCCCTACATCCCTGCCCCATAGATCCCTATGGAGCATCCCCCCTGCCCCATAGATCCCTATGGAGCATCCGCCCTGCCCCATAGATCCCTATGGAGCATCCCCCCTGCCCCATAGATCCCTATGGAGCATCCCCCCTGCCCCATAGATCCCTATGGAGCATCCCCTCTGCCCCATAGATCCCTATGGAGCATCCTCCCCTGCCCCATAGATCCCTATGGAGCATCATCCCCTGATCCCTATGGAGCATCCCCTCTGCCCCATAGATCCCTATGGAGCATCCTCCCTGCCCCATAGATCCCTATGGAGCATCCCCCCTGCCCCATAGATCCCTATGGAGCATCCCCTCTGCCCCATAGATCCCTATGGAGCATCCCCCCTGCCCCATAGATCCCTATGGAGCATCCTCCCCTGCCCCATAGATCCCTATGGAGCATCCCCCCTGCCCCATAGCCCCATAGATCCCTATGGAGCATCCCCCCCTGCCCCCTGCCCCATAGATCCCTATGGAGCATCCCCTGCCCCATAGATCCCTATGGAGCATCCTCCCCTGCCCCATAGATCCCTATGGAGCATCCTCCCCTGCCCCATAGATCCCTATGGAGCATCCTCCCCTGCCCCATAGATCCCTATGGAGCATCCCCTCTGCCCCATAGATCCCTATGGAGCATCCTCCCTGCCCCATAGATCCCTATGGATCATCCCTGCCTCCATCCATAGGGCGACGACGGCGCTGTGGGTCCACGAGGCCTCCCCGGTGCCCCATGGGGTCCCTATGGGGCGCAGCCCCCCTGCCCCATAGATCCCTATGGACCCCCCCCAACCCCTCCTCATTCACCCCCCCTCTGCCCCATAGGGACCCAGAGGCCTCCTTGGTCCCAAAGGCCCCCCCGGCATCCCCGGCCCCCCGGTAAGATCTATGGGGCAGCCCCATAGCGTTCTCCTCATCCCCCCCTTCCCCACTGCCCCACATCATCCATCTCCCCCCCCATAGGGCGTCCGTGGCATGGATGGCCCCGTGGGGCCCAAAGGGAACGTGGTGAGTTGGGGGGCGCCCCACATCTCCCCATTGATCTCCTCCGAGCCTGCCCCATAAGTGTGGGGCAGGCGTTGACCCCCATCTCCATCAATAGGGACCTCAAGGGGAACCAGGGCCCTCTGGGTACCAGGGAACAGCAGGGAGCCAGGTGAGGCCCCCAGCCCCATAGATGCAATGGGGCAGGGGGGGGGGTTCGCTATGGGGCGCAATGGGGTTGGGGGGCGCAATGAGCCCCACAGCATCGGCATCGCCCCACATCCTCCTGCTTAGGGGCTGCCGGGACCTCAAGGTGCCGTGGGGCCTCCTGGAGATGAGGTGAGCAATGGGGCTCCTATGGGGGGCAAGGGGAGAAGGGGGATCTATGGGGCAATGATGGGATCTATGGGGCAGAGGGGGGGATCTGTGGGGCAAAGGGGGGGATCTATGGGGCAAAGAGGGGGGAATCTATGGGGCAAAGATGGGGGGGGATCTGTGGGGCAAAGAGGGAGATCTATGGGGCAAAGGGGGGGTCTGTGGGTTAAGGAGGGGGGGATCTATGGGGCAAAGGGGGGGATCTATGGGGCAAAGGGGGGGATCTATGGGGCAAAGAGGGGGGGATCTATGGGGCGAAGAGGGGGGATCTATGGGGCAGAGGGGGGGATCTATGGGGCAAAGGGGAAGATCTATGGGGCAAAGAGGGGGGGGATCTGTGGGGCAATGATGGGATCTATGGGGCAAAGGGGGGATCTATGGGGCAGAGGGGGGGGGATCTGTGGGGTAAGGAGGGGGGGATCTATGGGGCAAAGATGGGGGGGGATCTGTGGGGAAAAGGGGGGGATCTGTGGGGCAAAGGGGGGGATCTATGGGGCAAAGGGGGGGATCTATGGGGCAAAGAAGGGGGGGGTCTATAGGGCAAAGAGAGGGGGATCTATGGGGCAAAGGGGGGGGATCTGTGGGGTAAGGAGGGGGATCTATGGGGCAAAGATGGGATCTATGGGGCAAAGGGGGGATCTATGGGGCAGAGGGGGGGGGATCTGTGGGGTAAGGAGGGGGGATCTATGGGGCAAAGGGGGGGGATCTGTGGGGCAAAGGGGGGGATCTATGGGGCAATGATGGGATCTATGGGGCGAAGAGGGGGGATCTATGGGGCAAAGATGGGATCTATGGGGCAAAGGGGGGATCTATGGGGCAGAGGGGGGGGATCTGTGGGGTAAGGAGGGGGATCTATGGGGCAAAGAGAGGGGGATCTGTGGGGAAAAGGGGGGTCTATGGGGCAATGATGGGATCTATGGGGCGAAGAGGGGGGATCTATGGGGCAATGATGGGATCTATGGGGCAGAGGGGGGGGATCTGTGGGGCAAAGAGGGGGATCTATGGGGCAAAGGGGGGGGATCTATGGGGCGAAGAGGGGGGGATCTGTGGGGCAGAGGGGGGGATCTATGGGGCAGAGGGGGGGGATCTGTGGGGCAAAGAGGGGGGGAATCTATGGGGCAAAGGGGGGGATCTATGGGGTAAGGAGGGAGATCTATGGGGCAATGATGGGATCTATGGGGCAAAGGGGGGATCTATGGGGCAGGGGGGGGTCTGTGGGGCAAAGGGGGGGGATCTGTGGGGCAAAGGGGGGGATCTGTGGGGCAAAGAGGATGAGATCTATGGGGCAAAGGGGGGATCTATGGGGCCAAGGGGGGATCTATGGGGCAAAGGGGGGGATCTATGGGGCAAAGGGGGGGATCTATGGGGCAAAGAGGATGGGATCTATGGGGCAAAGAGGGGGATCTATGGGGCAAAGGGGGGGGATCTATGGGGCAAAGGGGGGGATCTGTGGGGTAAGGAGGGGGGATCTGTGGGGCAAATGGGGGGATCTATGGGGCAAAGGGGGGGATCTGTGGGGCAGAGGGGGGGATCTATGGGGCAATGATGGGATCTATGGGGCAAAGGGGGGGATCTGTGGGGCAGAGGGGGGGATCTATGGGGCAATGATGGGATCTATGGGGCGAAGAGGGCGGTCTATAGGGCAAAGAGAGGGGGATCTATGGGGCAAAGGGGGGGGATCTGTGGGGTAAGGAGGGGGATCTATGGGGCAAAGATGGGATCTATGGGGCAAAGGGGGGGGATCTATGGGGCAAAGAGGATGGGATCTATGGGGCAAAGGGGGGGATCTGTGGGGCAGGAGCTGGGGGAATCTATGGGTCAAAGGGGGGATCTATGGGCCAAAGAAGGAGATCTATGGGGCAAAGGGGAGGATCTATGGGGCAAAGGGGAGGATCTATGGGGCAAAGAGGAAGATCTATGGGGCAAAGGGGAGGATCTATGGGGCAAAGGGGGGATCTATGGGTCAAAGGGGGGGATCTATGGGTCAAAGGGGGGATCTATGGGGCAAAGGGGGGGATCTATGGGGCAAAGGGGGGGATCTATGGGGCAGGAGATGGGGGGATCTATGGGTCAAAGGGGGGGATCTATGGGGCAAAGGGGGGGATCTATGGGGCGAAGAGGATGGGATCTATGGGGCAAAGGGGGGATCTATGGGGCAGGAGATGGGGGAATCTATGGGTCAAAGGGGGGGATCTGTGGGGCAAAGGGGGGGATCTATGGGGCAAAGGGGGATCTATGGGTCAAAGGGGGGGATCTGTGGGGCAAAGAGGGGGGGAATCTATGGGGCAAAGGGGGGGATCTATGGGGTAAGGAGGGGGATCTATGGGGCAATGATGGGATCTATGGGGCAAAGGGGGGATCTATGGGGCAAAGAGGGGGATCTATGGGGCAGGAGATGGGGAGATCTATGGGGCAAAGGGGGGATCTATGGGGCAAAGGGGGGGATCTATGGGGCAAAGATGGGATCTATGGGGCAAAGGGGGGATCTATGGGGCAAAGAGGGGGATCTATGGGGCAAAGGGGGGATCTATGGGGCAAAGAGGGGGATCTGTGGGGCAAAGGGGGGGATCTGTGGGGCAGAGGGGGGGGATCTATGGGGCAGGAGATGCTGTTGTGCCCCCCAACCCCATTCCCTCCTCTCCCCATAGGGACCCCAAGGAAAACCCGGTTTGCCTGGGATGCCCGGGTCCGACGGCGCCCCCGTGAGTGCCCCCCCAGCCCCATAGCACCCAATGGGTGCCCCCCAGCCCCATAGCACCCAATGGGGGTCCCAGCCCCATGGGGGATGTGGGTCCTGAGACCCCCATTGCTCCCTGCAGGGTCACCCCGGCAAGGAGGGACCCCCAGGCTCCAAAGGGCACCAGGTAAAGATCCCCCCCCCCCCCCAAGCTCCTGCCCCACATCTATGGGGCAGCCCCACATCTATGGGGCAATGCCAGCCCCATGCCTATGGGGCAGGACGATATCTATGGGGCAATGGCAGCCTCACGTCTATGGGGCAGCCCCACACATATGGGGCAATGGCAGCCCCATGTCTATGGGGCAGCCCCACATCTATGGGGCAGCCCCTGTGTCTATGGGGCAATGGCAGCCTCACGTCTATGGGGCAGCCCCACACCTAAGGGGCAGCCCCACACCTATGGGGCAGCCCCTGTGTCTATGGGGCAATGCCAGCCCCATGTCTATGGGGCAGGATGATATCTATGGGGCAATGGCAGCCCCACGTCGATGGGGCAGCCCCACACATATGGGGCAATGGCAGCCCCACGTCTATGGGGCAGCCCTATATCTACGGGGCAATGCCAGCCCCACATCTATGGGGCAGCCCCACACATATGGGGCAGCCCCTGTGTCTATGGGGCAATGCGAGCCCCATGCCTATGGGGCAGGACGATATCTATGGGGCAATGCCAGCCCCACGTCTATGGGGCAGCCCCACACATATGGGGCAATGGTAGCCCCATGTCTATGGGGCAGCCCCACATCTATGGGGCAGCCCCTGTGTCTATGGGGCAATGCCAGCCTCACGTCTATGGGGCAGCCCCACACATATGGGGCAATGGCAGCCCCACGTCTATGGGGCAGCCCCTGTGTCTATGGGGCAATGCCAGCCCCACGTCTATGGGGCAGCCCCACACATATGGGGCAGCCCCGTGTCTATGGGGCAATGCCAGCCTCACGCCTATGGGGCAGGATGATATCTATGGGGCAATGGCAGCCCCACGTCTATGGGGCAGCCCCACACCTAAGGGGCAGCCCTGTATCTATGGGGCAATGCCAGCCCTATGCCTATGGGGCAACCCCACACCTAAAGGGCACCCCTGTATCTATGGGGCAATGCCAGCCCCACGTCTATGGGGCAGCCCCACACCTATGGGGCAGCCCTATATCTATGGGGCAATGCCAGCCCCACGTCTATGGGGCAGCCCCACACCTAAGGGGCAGCCCTGTATCTATGGGGCAATGCCAGCCCCCTGCCTATGGGGCAGGACAATATCTATGGGGCAATGCCAGCCCCACGTCTATGGGGCAGCCCCGTGTCTATGGGGCAATGCCAGCCCCATGCCTATGGGGCAGGACTGTATCTATGGGGCAATGGCAGCCCCACATCTATGGGGCAGCCCCTGTGTCTATGGGGCAATGCCAGCCCCACGTCTATGGGGCAGCCCCACATGTATGGGGCAGCCCCTTATCTATGGAGCAGCCCTATATCTATGGGGTAGCCTCACACCTATGGGGCAGCCCCACACCTGTGGGGGAACCCTATATCTATGGGGCAATGCCAGCCCCACACCTATGGGTCAGCCCTATATCTATGGGGCAATGCCAGCTCTACACCTATGGGGCAGCCCTATATCTATGGGGCAGCACCCTATCTATAGGGCAGCCTCACACCTATGGGGCAGCCCCACACCTATTGGGCAGCCCCATATCTATGGGGCAGCCTCACACCTATGGGGCAGCCCCACACCTATGGGGCAGCCCCACACCTACGGGGCAGCCTCACACCTGTGGCGCACCCCCAGCCCCACATCTATGGGGCAGCCCCACACCTATGGGGCAGCCTCACACCTATGGGGCAGCCCCACATCTACGGGGCAGCCTCACACCTCTGGCGCACCCCCAGCCCCACACCTATGGGGCAGCCCCACATCTATGGGGCAGCCCCACACCTATGGGGCAGCCTCACACCTATGGGGCAGCCCCACATCTACGGGGCAGCCTCACACCTCTGGCGCACCCCCAGCCCCACATCTATGGGGCAGCCCCACATCTATGGGGAGGTTCCAACCTCCTCCTTGCCCCATAGGGTCCTTCAGGTCCTCAAGGTCCCATTGGCTACCCGGGGTCACGTGGTGTCAAGGTAAGCGCTGGGCTTATGGGGCGGGGGGGGGGGGGGGGAGGCAGTTATGGGGCGAAACCAGGCGGATTTGGGACTTGTGGGTCACGCTCCATAGGGGGCAGACGGCATCCGGGGCCTCAAAGGACACAAGGGAGAGAAGGTGGGTCCCATCCCTGCCCCATAGCGCCCCATAGACGGCCCCATCACCCCATAGATGACCCCCATCACCCCATAGATGGTCCCCATCACCCCATAGATGGCACCCATCACCCCATAGATGACCCCCATCACCCCATAGATGGCACCCATCACCCCATAGATGGCACCCGTCACCCCATAAGTGGTCCCCATCACCCCATAGATGGCACCCATCACCCCATAGATGGTCCCCATCACCCCATAGATGGCACCCATCACCCCATAGATGGCACCCGTCACCCCATATATGGCACCCATCACCCCATAGATGGTCCCCATCACCCCATAGATGGCACCCATCACCCCATAGATGGCACCCGTCACCCCATAAGTGGTCCCCATCACCCCATTGATGGCCCCCATCACCCCATAGATGGTCCCCATCACCCCATAGATGGCACCCATCACCCCATAAGTGGTACCCATCACCCCATAGATGACCCCCATCACCCCATAGATGACCCCC